GTCAATATTCTGAGAGTAACGGAAGTTCACGAGAATCCTTGATAATTCACATTTACCGGGCAATTTAGTCTTCAAGCAACGGAATAATGAATAAATTAGATGTAATGTGTAACAGTTACGTAAACTAAGTTTTTTTGTTGAATTCCTGCCACCTATCAAGGTTGCCTGCTGGCGCATTGCCGTTGTATGCAATTTAATTCTTAAAAGTAAGAGATAGTAAATTAGGTTTAACGAATATCGCTTGAATATTTTAAGTCAACCAAAGTACAGCACAGTATGGCGCCCATAATGTTGTTGTTAATGCAAGTGCTGAACACAATAAAACATCAGGGGACTGCGTGAACTGATTTAGGTGGACGCTATTTTGGAATATTCGGACCTCGCGGAATCGAAATATTTTGCCTTGCAAATTCTCGAATCCGTTATACAAACTAAGTAAGTTGTAAAGCTCTTTTACTTTTTTTTGCGGTGCATGTCAACCATCTTTTATTCCGCGCTACAGATGGAAATCACTGCCTCTTGTGCAACGAGACGGTATCAAAAGCTTCATTGTGCAGTTTATTCTTAAACTCAGTGAGTCACGAGCTGAATCTGAGAAAAACTCACTACTGTTGCACAAGCTGAACCTTGTACTTGTACAGGTTGGTTTTTTCTCTTGTATCTCATTTGTGCATTGTGTTCCGTTCGAATTTATCATTTTCAAAATTTGTTTTCAGATTGTAAAGCAAGACTGGCCAAAGAATTGGCCTTCGTTTATCACGGATATCGTTGAGTCATCAAAGACGAACGATAATATTTGTGTAAATAACATGAATATCTTAAGCTTATTGAGGTTGGTCTACCTGTTCCTCACAAGATTGCAAGCATTTGTTACTTTTTCACCAATTTTTATTTTAAATTTTAGCGAAGAAGTGTTTGACTTTGGCAGTCAGAATCTAACTCAAGCTAAGGAACAACATCTGAAACAACAATTTTGTGGACAATTCCAGGAAGTTTTCACGCTTTGCATAACAATTCTTGTAAGTGGCTT